CCCCAAAACCCCAAAACCCCAAAACCCCGGAGATCAAAATAATATTTCGAATATTAACATTCAACATGGATAAATAAATTTTAGTACTAACCAATTCTAACATGAGTTAGTTTAAATCCATATGCTCTAAATATTTTCATCGTCTTCTGTTGATCATTAAAAGAATAGCATCCACCAAATTCTTCTAAGGTTTCTCTGAAATCTTGTGACTTTGAGAGTCCTTCTACCAATTTTGACAAAACATCCAAATATTCTCCTTTTATTTTCAACCAATTTATTCTTCAATCGCCTAACTTCAATCTTTTGATCATAGAAGGAGTCAAACTAATTGTTATGATTAATAATAATTTGACTTACCAGTCTCAGTCATAACCTCAATGTCCAGAGCCTATACTTCCATCTAAAGAATGGCCGAAGTCGGGCACTTTCGGGATAGAAATGTTGCAAGACAGAAATATTAACTTCTCTGTATTCCGACAGGCAGAAAAGAGCTTCATAAATGAAGATTGACTTATAGTTATTCGTCAAATTGCGACTTTGAATGTTACCTTATAGCAAGCGTTCAGGATGCTTTGGAAGCATTTTCTCTTATTCAATAATAAACTATTGTTAAATTTCAGAGATAGTGATGACACTTTTCTCCAAGATAAATTTCAAAGAAAATTTTCTAACAAAGTAAAATTTTCAAACCTCAAATTGTTTAGAATTATCCTCTTTATTGCTAAAAGCTGTTGAAGGTTCTTTAAGCTCCTAAGTTTGTGAAACTCCTTCCATCCCAATAAATTATCCAATAAACTTGCCATACATCAAAAGAAGGTAGAGACTTGAATTTTTCAAACAATTGGACATGCCCATGACTATTTAGGTCTATACGAGAATCTCTAGGACAGAATGTCTGTATGATATCTCTCCGGCTAGATTTAAAGAAGAGAAAAGTACAGTTGAGAGTGGAACGCTTTAGATTGCTACTGGAGATTCTCCTCAAATCGAGCAATGATACTTTTTTCATTTTTATTTTGGCCTAAAAAGTGTTATGGCTTAATCGTAATTTTAGATTATCATAAAATGAATTGGTGCTTGAAATTAAAATGGCTAGGATCCAAGTGAAAATATTGGAGCTTCATCTGTAGAAAGAGAGATCTCAAATTTATGTATTCAGACCATATTTTGATATATGAACTATGAAAGGAAAATGGGAATACCTGAGTCATAAACATGGATTATTTGCTGGTCTCCGGTCATCTGAATCATTTTATGGGCTAGTTCTAAAAGGTCTCAAAGTCCGCCTTTTACACTCTCATATTTTTGTTTGCAATAAATATCTTTGATCCCTAATTCCTCAGGATTCGAGGCATACAGCTGAATTTTTGTGGAAACCATTCAGTTATAAATTTGAAAAATCCTTGTTTTGAAGTTACTATCTTGAACTTTTGAATAGATCTCCAAGATAGTTCTTTGCAATTTCATTTTGGATGCAAGTTCCTTGTACTCAGCTCACACTCTATACTTTATTAAAGATACATCTTACTTGTGTAGAAGCATGTCTTGCTTAAAATTCTTTTTATTTATTATTGGAAGCTCTTGCTTGCTTTGATTCTTTCCCATTTATATATATTCAATAATATTATCTATCAAGGGGTTTTGGGGTTTTGGGGTTTTGGGGG